TTGATGAATCGGAAAGGTCTGAAGGGATATGTACCAAGCGCAGGCAAATGGGATTAGTTTAGTTTAGGAAACTTGATCAGCACGTACAAGTTGGACCAAAGGGTCTGTTTCCATGCTCTTTGACTCTATAACTACGGCATTATGATGGACTTCAGTTATTTTAATGTGTACCAAGATAATACTGCAAGGGGCATTGAGGGAGAAAAGTTCCTTAAGCATGTTAAAGAGAACTTTTGATCATTGTTTCCAGCCCAATGAAAATAGAAACACTGCTGGATTTAGTTATGAGAAATGAACTGGGGCAGCATTTGATGACTGATCAAAATATCAACTTTCAAAATTCTGGAAAAAGACCAGGTATAATGGAGCAAAAAACTTTGTGGGAAAGGTTAACTTAAGGAGTTGGGTATAGAATTGATCAATTCACTTTATGTAAGCAATGCCGATGCTGGAAATCTGAAATAAAAGCAGGAAATATTAGAGAAACTCGGCAGGCCTGGAAGCATCTGTGGAGAGAGAAACAAAGTTAACATCCAAAATGACTCCCCTTCTGAGCTGAAGGAAGGTGAAAAGCTGGTGGTTTTTAACACATTAGTTAAAGGTGGGAGGAGCAAGTGGAAAAGAAGGGACAGTTAGAGGGCAAAAGAGATTAGAGATCACAGGTGTCACAGAACAGAAGACAAAGGTCTTGACAATGATTATGGGGAAGAGAGGTCCAGAACAGTCATTAATAGAAGGTGTTAATACAGAATATAGGTTGAGTGAAAACCAGACAATCGGTGGAAGGGAAGGCAGGGAAACAAAAATAGAGGACTCAGTTCATGATCTGAAATTATTCAACTCAGCGTTGAGTCCATGAGCTGTTAAGTCCCTCAACAGAAACTGAGATGTGTTCCTCCGGCTTGAATTGGATTTAATTGGAACATTGGCTCACGTTTTCTAAGTTAGGTCTGCTGCAATGAGGCCAATCCTCTTGAGGAAAGGAAAGACCCTTAAAGCTGGAGCTCTTAGGCGACTAATGATGAGGTTAAAAAAACACATGAAGGGGGGCTTAAGGTTAATGTTGTATATTAAAGAACCAAGCTGAATACAGGTGGTACAGAGAAGATCTAAAAAGAATAAGGGGTTAAAGCATGGCAACAGGTTAGAAGCTAATCCGTAGCTTTTTGTTAACATAGTGGAAGGGTAGGGCCCATGGGAGATCAAAAAAGGCAGAGGGCATCCCTGACTAAATTACTACTTTTGCGTTTGATCTCCGTAGAAATACTATTAATGTAGTAAAAAGGTGGCTATGATATTGGATAAGATGAAAAAAGTACATAGATTGGTAATACTCAAAGTAGAAAAGTAATTTAGTCCAGTTGGGATGTTTCTTCAGCCAAGCTGAGTTCCTCTTGCAGTCAGCCATGCGGCACAGGCTAAGCGAGCTAAATAGACTTTCTGAACTGGAAGCAAAGGTGGAACCTACAGATGCTCTGACTGAAATACTCCAATGCTAATTAGTTATGAGGAGAGTCTCAATCCTGTGTGGGGGGGGATAAAAAGATTCCCCTTATTTCTAACCTAACAAAGGTGAACTGTAATTTTAAACAGTGCCCTTTAGTTTTGGACTATACCACAAGAGTAAAACGTCCTTTCCATATCTACCCTGTCAAGACTATTCGGCATCTATTGTACTACAAACACATCATCCCTTGCCACTCTAAACTCCAGTGGACACAAGCCCAGCCTGTCCAACCTGTTTTCAAAAGATATTCCACTTCCAGTTATCTAGTAAGCCTCATCTGAACTACCTCCAACATATTTTCTTCTTTCTTTAAGAAGACCAAAACTGCACACGGTATTAGAGGCATTTTTTTCAAATTATTCATTGATGCAATGAGGGTGTCACTGGTTAGGCCAGCATTAATTGCCCATCCTTAATTGTCCAAAGGCAGTTATGAGTCGACTACATGGTGGATCTGGAGTCACATGTAGGCCAGTCCAGGTAAGGATAGCAGTTTCCTT